TGTAAATAATATAAATAATATAAATAATATAAATAATGTAAATAATGTAAATAATGTAAATAATGAGCTACACAGTTAGTCGACTGGTTTACAAGCTAACTCTAAACAAGCTAGGTCCGTAAATATAAAGACATGAGTAAGCAGTAAATATAACACTACTATATCACTTACCGAAAAAAACTGAAGCATCAACTTGTTGGATGGTCTGTTAACCACACAGCAAGCCATGTATGTTGTCAGATATGTGTTAAACAAACTCTCCAAATGAAGTAAAAAAGAGGAGAAATCAGACGGATCAAGCTGTTAGCCTCCTGACCTGCTGACCTGACAGACAGATGCAGCGTGCAGAGCTGTCAATCAAATCTGCCACAACCCTTATATGGGCATAGCCGTTTTTCTTAATAGAATAAAATCTGATGAGTTATAAAAAAATTCACCCCCCCACAGTGTGAGGAGAAGGGGCCGTCAACTTCTCAGATATATCTCGTTTTTTGAACCAGGCTGTAAACATGTTGATTCCTGTGGTAAAAACAGGCTTTTTTGGCTGTGGGCTTATGGCACTTCCGCCGCTTCTGCAGCCAGCCTCAAGCGGAACCTCGAGGAACTGCAGATTTTTGTACTTCCGCATTGGCTTCATTTTTCGAGACCGGAGGTTGCCCCTTGCTTCTGCTTCGTCTGCAAAGTGTGAATCTGTATGAATGGATTTGTGGTAATACTGATGGTCACAAGCAGCCTCAGGGTGTTAATGTGTAGGTGTGACCTGCAGTGTAAAAGAGATTTGAGTGGTCAGATAAAGTAGAAAAGCGCTAAACAACCATGAACTACCATCTACACCCCACAGACGAGTGCTTTTTGGCTGTCACTCTTTAATTTCATTTTTAGTTAGCCTGTATGTATCTACTTTTTTCCAGAAATGAAAAATGTGTTGAGATTTGATTTTAAAAGAATATATCACCATTATGTCAAAAGAAACGTCTTTTCTATCTGGCTTATAGGTACTTATATTTTTGTCTTTGTACACCGTTCACCATAGAAACATTTGAGTGTAAAAGGCAGAAGAGGGACAATCAGGTTTTTAACAACTTAACTGTACAACAACTTACAGCTGCAGAAAACAACTCTCTGTGCATGAATATAATGTTCCAGATTTTTTTATTGATTTCATGGACATTTAATTAATGGACATCTTTTTCAACAGTGGCTATTTTTGAATTATGTCTACCATAATTTCAACTATGGCAATTCAAAAATGTCCGCTGTGAAAAAAAGGTGTATTTAGGTGCAGAGGAGGAGGGGAGAACCATCCAGGTAGACAGTTTGTTGTCTGTCTCTGAATCATTCACTCCCGGCCTCTTGTCAGGATCAGGGTCGGATTGTAATGCACTCGTGAAGGTCTTCACCAGCGCTGCTTGTTCTCTGGCGTCTCCTCACGCCTTGCTCTTTTCCTCTTGGGAGGCATGTGCTCCTCTCTGTCGGCCTGCAGCTGCTCAGAGAGCTCCATGGTTCTTTGGAGCTGAGCATTGAGCTGAGTGTCCAGCTCTTCCAGCTGTCTCACATAGAAACTCTCCTTCTCCTGGTAGTTCTGTTGCAGGGCGTCCTGTTCAGCCCTCAGCTTCAGGATTACTTCCTGGCTCTCTGTCAGCTTGTCTGAGTTAGATTTGGTCTCAGTGTCAAACTGCAACAGCTTGCTCTTAGCCTGGTGTTGCAGGGTGAAAACTTCGGACTGATACCTCTGGCTCAGCTCCTGATAGCTAGCTCCTAACCTCTCCAGGTTTAACTTGAAAAGGTTGGTGTTGTTCCTCTCCTCCTGGATCTGAGCTCTAAATTGTTCCACACAGTTTTTGTGCAGGGCTTGAAGCTCCTGGTATTCTTTTTGAATGACATTCTGGACACTGAGCTGAGTTTTGATCTGCTCCAGCTCTGTCCAGAACATCTGCGCCTTCTGCAACAGGACAGCGTTTTCATCTGCCATCTTCTGACAGCTGGCGTTGTATTCAGCCGTCATGGACGTGATGTATTCTTGAAACTGGGAGTCCCTGTCCAAGTGAGCCTGCTTCTGTTGCTGAAGCTCACGCTGCAGGGTCTCCACCTGCTGCCCGGCACTTTGCATCATGTTCTGGTGCTTGCAGCTCTCCTCCGCCATATTCTTGCGTAGCGTGTCCTGTTGTTCTGTTAAGGACTTGATGACCGCCTGGTCATGAGACACTTTGTCAGCGTGAGCCTTAAATTGTTTTTGCATCTCACGCTGATAGGTCTCAATCTGCTGCCCGCCACTGAGCATATCATTCTGGTACTTCAGGCCCAGCTCGTTTAGAGCACATTTGACCTTCTCCAGTTCTTCTTTGAGGAGCGTACTCTCTCTTTCTCCTCCGAGCTCAGCTGAAGTCTTGTTGTTGATGCTTGTGTGGTCCACTTGCATCTCGTCATCAGCAACACGTTTGTTCCCTTTGCGCCTTTTGTTTTGACCCTGGGCGGCGCCAGTCTTCTCTGAGGGTTGTCTCTGCTGTCTTTCCAGCTCTTTGCAGCGGTTCATAAAAAACTCCTTTTGAGATTTTTGTCTTTCCAGCTGCCTCCTCGTCTCCTCGTGGCTGATCGCCATCTTCTCGTTCTTCTCCCTGCAGCAGTGCTCCATCTTCCTGTTGAGCAGCACGTTGAGCCGGCTCACTTCTTGATGGAGGTTTGAGAGCTCGCTCCTTTTCTTATTTGGCGGAGCTCTTGCTTTGACCTTCGGCATGAAGGTGTTCCTGTTCCCTTTCGGGATCTTCACCAGCTGCATTTTGTTCTGAGTGTTGAGCCGCATGTTGTTTAGGCTGGTAAAATTCAGAATTGAAGAAATGCTGCTGTTTAAAAGTTGTGATTGTTTCTGATGAACAGATGTATCTATCAGAGATCAGGTCTAACAAGTGTTGAAGCTTTGTAAGAGACTTGAAATGATCTGAGTGCCTGGACAACTTCTCTCTATACCTTCTGATGACATCAGAGAAAGAATGGAACGTGTCCTTTGAAGTGAGCTCGCTTTGATCTTTGTAAAGTTCCACAGTTTCCTTTCTGCTTGTTAACATTCAAAATGTGAAGCTGTCATTTAAATGTAAACACAGTTTATTAAAGTTTTTATGTACTCAATTATTATTTTGAATAATGCAATTTGGATTATTAGAAAGTGCATAATGCAGCTCTGAAGCTCCTTTTGGACCACATGAACTTTCCCCCAGAACTAGGGACCTTTAGAGGAACTATGTGCATTTCCACCACAGGAAGCAGGATCTACATTAAGTTCTGGGGTAAACGATCTACCCCTAAAAAAGACCCTGGTAGGGGGCTAGTACTTTCTTAAGGTCCAGGAACTTTGGTGTGGAAAAAAGCTCTTCTCCTGTGTTGAAACAAGTCAAAGAACAATATTTAAATTTAAGAAGTGGATATTATTTATACAACGGTTTTTGTTTATGATCTTTAGTTTGTTTGTTTCTACGAAGATTCTTTCAGGTCTCGATAGAGAAACGTTGGGTTGTTACGTTTTTTACTGTTGCTTTGGTGGTTGCTATGGACGCTATCAACAACGAACCGGAAGAAAGTGGACGATCGGTTCGTGGCTCTTAAAACGGGTTACATTAGACCCTAGACACCCTTACATTACAACCAAATTTAATAAAACGATTGGAACAGATCGATGCATATTAGCAACATAATGAACTATAAAATGTTGTTTATTTTCATGTTAAATATGTTAAATATATCAAATGTTACTTGATGAGACATTGGGTCCCACTAAAGATCGGGTAGATGTCTGCATGAGAGCTATTCATTTTACATATTTTTAAATGATACAATTAAAAAAAATCAGTTCAGAAATGATGACATGGCTTATTGTTATCTCCGGGCCTTTAGAGCATCTGAAGTAATCTGAGCTGTGAAACCTGAAGACGGCACACTACAGTTTTTCAATATCTCAGATATCCTTTTCTAAACTCTGAGAAAAGCAACCTACCTACCTACATTACTCGACAAAACAAAAAGCTTATTTTTGGCTTCAAACCGAAGTTGTTAATTGAATGCACACTCCACATCTAACCTCAGACACACATTTAAAAATACTCCGGTGTAGGAATAGGCTTGAGAAGATGTCTGATCAGAGGCTTACTAGAAATATATTTACTTGGGATACTTTTCATTGTCATCCCTGGGCCAATGAGTTTATTTTTTTATTTTAATCGTCTGTCATTCATTTTTCAAAATATGCTACACTGGGATTTTCAGGAGATTAGGAGTAAAATGATTCTCATGTACAGAGAAAATGGTCTGTTGTTATAAGGTGTAAAACAAAAACACAAGCTTACTGTCTCATAAAGAAGAGTAGAGGTCTATGAATAACCAAAAGAGGGGCGCCGCTAGCACAGTGGTTCATCAACACGCCCCATGTACAGAGTCTACAGTCCTAGGCTTGAATCCGACCTGCGGCTTGTTGTTCCCCACTCTCTCGCCCTGATTTCTTACTCTATCTCCCACTGCCCTGTCTCTCAAATAAAGACAAAGAAATAAACCTTTGTAAAAAAGAAAGTATAACCCAAAAGGCAATGATGTTGTGTATAGGTACAGGAACATTAGCTTTAGCTTGAAGGTTTAATGGCGCCCCAGAGAATGTCTGCATGTTTTTTTCATGTAACTTGAATCTGCTTTTTCCCACAATGATTTATTTTTGATAAAAATGTTAATCAGTCATATCTGTTGAGCTGCTGCTGCAGGAGCACACAAACATGTAGAGAACATTCAGATTCTTTTATTAAGTGTTTAGTATATCCAGTAACAACACGAACAGCTGTCCTAATTGTGTTTAGAGATCTACAAACTAATTGGGTAAAATCATAACTGTAAAATACAGGTTTCTTGAGACTTTTTAATCCGAGTTGTATCAACAACTTTCTGATTTAAAGTAAGAATTCGGGTTAAAATGTGTTCCTTAGAAATCTGAATGATTACAGTACGTGTCTGTGTTCATTGACAGTTCAATCTACTTGTTTGTTGTTGACAGAGCGGCTTTGTGTCCCACTTTGGAGCAAAGCAGGGTTTGGAGAGCCAGGTGAAGATGTGCTGTTGGACTCTGCTGGCCTTGGCTGTGAGCATCCTGACCTACTGCGTTTGGAAGAGAGTGGTTTAGCCAACACTGCCACCTACCGACCACAACCAGGAACTGTCAGAGACTGAGCAACAGTATGGAAATGTCTGCAGAGCTGGTTTAAGATGCATCATTTTATTAGTAAGAAGCTGGATAATCAGTGTTACCTTCAGACTTTCAGTAGAATTCAAACGCCAAACACTGCATGTGATATCTGAACACTTTCCTTTCAGATTTTAATTTAATCATTTTAATTAATTTTTAGTGTAATTATGTATACATGTGCTTTGTCAAAATTTTAGCAGCACCTTTATCTACAATGAATGGAAATAAGAACAAAACATTGAATGAACCCATTTATATCCAGAATCTCCATCATGATCTTACTTTTTTTCATTCAAGTCACATTGTAACTGTTTGTTTACTTCTGTATTTCTGGCAAAACACCAGCCATGCAGCTACACCTTATCTACAGTGTAGAGCCTCTACTCTAATAAATACTTTAACGTCATAGTTATATCTCATTAATTTGAAAGTAGCCTGTGAATACTATTAAACACATTAAGACTTGAAAAATGCAAAAGAAACTTTTATTCACATGAACAGCAGACAGAACACTGAAAACCAGAAAACACTTGGTTGGAACGTTAAATCTCTCCTCCTCTGCGGTGGCGTCCTGGTACTGCTGGTACTCGGACACCAGGTCATTCATGTTGCTCTCAGCCTCGGTGAACTCCATCTCATCCATACCCTCACCGGTGTACCAATGGAGGAAAGCTTTGCGCCTGAACATGGCTGTGAACTGCTCAGAGATGCGCTTGAACAGCTCCTGGGTGGCTGTGCTGTTGCCGATGAATGTGGCAGCCATCTTGAGGCCACGGGGAGGGATGTCACAGACAGCGTTCTTCACGTTGTTGGGGATCCATTCAACAAAGTAGCTGCTGTTTTTGTTCTGCACGTTCAGCATCTGTTCATCCACCTCCTTCATGGACATGCGGCCACGGAAGATAGCAGCCACTGTCAGGTAGCGGCCATGACGTGGGTCACAGGCAGCCATCATGTTCTTTGCGTCAAACATCTGCTGGGTGAGCTCTGGTACAGTGAGGGACCTGTACTGCTGGCTGCCTCGGCTTGTGAGGGGAGCGAAGCCTGGAATGAAAAAGTGCAGGCGAGGGAATGGCACCATGTTTACAGCCAGCTTCCTCAGGTCAGCATTGAGCTGTCCGGGGAACCTGAGGCAGGTGGTAACGCCGCTCATGGTGGCAGAGACGAGGTGGTTGAGGTCACCATATGAGGGGGTTGTAAGTTTAAGGGTGCGGAAACAGATGTCATACAGAGCCTCGTTGTCAAAACAGAAGGTTTTGTCCGTGTTTTCTACAAGCTGGTGGACTGACAGTGTGGCGTTGTATGGCTCAACGACGGTGTCTGATACTTTGGGTGAGGGCACCACGCTGTAGGTTTTCATAATACGGTCGGGGTACTCTTCACGGATTTTGCTGATGAGCAGTGTGCCCATCCCAGAGCCAGTACCACCACCAAGAGAGTGTGTGAGCTGGAAGCCCTGCAGGCAGTCACAGTTCTCTGCCTCCTTCCTCACTACATCCAGGACAGTGTCCACCAGCTCTGCACCCTCCATGTAGTGACCTTTGGCCCAGTTGCTGCCAGCACCGCTCTGGCCTAAAAGAGGAAAGAAAAAAAAGGGGGGGGGGGAGAATTAAACTTAACAGTACTTAAATGCAAAATGAGAAGTAGCTAGTAGAGAAAGAATGTAAGGACAAATGAACAATTACCATTAATAAAGTTGTCTGGCCTGAAGATCTGGCCGTAGGGTCCGGATCTCACACAGTTCATGGTTCCTGGCTCCAGATCCACCAGCACAGCATGGGGAACATATTTACCACCTTCAAGAAGCATAGAGGACGTGAGGGTAATGTTCACAAAAAAAGCCAAAAAGTTTATGCCTATTAAAACATCTAATTCAACCTTACCTGTGGCTTCATTGTAGTAGACATTGATCCTGTCAAGCTGCAGATCACTGTCAGCGTGTTATGTGCCAGTTTGGTCAATGCCGTGCTCATCACCTCCCAAAAACTGAAATATAATTAAAAAAATAAGACATTGTTGGCGGATAAAACATAAACAAATGACAGGGGAATGAGTAGGCAGTAATGTTCAAGTGGACACAGGTCATTTATGTATCGGTTTCTTTCATTTTTAAAGCTGACATAGCACTTCTATAGAGGTTGATTCATAAGAGCAGTTGAACGTCACTTCCGGCTCACCAGAGTGACCACGCCCCCTCTGGCTCACCAGAGTGACCACGCCCCCTCTGGCTCACCAGAGTGACCACGCCCCCTCTGGCTCAGAGTGACCACGCCCCCTCTGGCTCAGAGTGACCACGCCCCTGTTTGGGTGAAAACAAGCCCTGAGAATGTTTCGGCGGTAGATTAGAAAACACTGGAAGCCGTGAGATTAAACGCGATTGCGAAGCTTTTTGTACTTCAAACTATTTTAAAAACACAATTTAGTATCGGGTTTTGATTTACAAAGGAAACCGGAGGGTAAAAGAAGAGCTCTGTGTGTTTGGACTGAAACTAGAGAGGATTAAAATGGTAAATTGTGGGACCGCTGTCGTGTTCCTGCTAGCTTTAAAGCAGCGATCGCTCCGTGACAGACAAAGTCTGTTAACAGATTCTTCATACATTCATTCACTATCGTATTAACAACGTTACAACTGTCACATCACATAAACATGTTGGTGAAAATGTCTCTAAACAAAGGAACACTACACCAAATCCTCTTACTGAAAAATAAATGTCAAAATAAAAAGTTGGCTAGCTCGATATAACACCTTGTTTCGCCCCACTCATCATATTTACACTCACGTATGAATACAAAATGTTTTAATATCATCCAGGTGACTTTACATGTTATTCTTTTCTAAATCAGCTGATAACTCAGTTTATGTAAATGTCTGTAACCACTCCATTACAGCTATGAACAATGTTAGAAACTATTACAAATAAATGTTATTTAAAAATAAAGATCCCTCTCAGGTAACACGGTTAATAATTACTCATCAGGTGTTTGAAGTCAGTTTCCTCTGATGACTCGTTTGAGCAGTTTGACGCAGAGAGATTAAACACTCACATACATGGTAAATTTTATACCATTATGATGCCGATCTCTGTTCAGAAATGTCATATTTTAAATGTTTACATCACTGGTCATCAGATTTAGGCTCATACTTGTAGTTTTAAAGTACGGTTTTCGTTTTTTAAGACTTTAAATCGGTAATGACCCCAGCTTGTCCATTAACCGCCATTCATTCAAATGGAATGATTTCACCCAGAAAGGGGCGGGGCCGGCATCGTTTGGGTAAAGTACCCGGATGGGTTGCTCTCAACTTCCCGCGGTTCAGCAGTCCGCACGCAGCCTCATCGCTCATACGTCATTAACCGCCAACACGGTCACGACTGCAGACTTTTTGTTTTAATCATAAACACGCAGAACTTTGTTCAAGTTACATTACAGCCCAAGACGAGAGAAAACACTCACTTCATATATTTCGCATTGCAGGAACGATTACGTCACCAAATAAATAATGATTTTAATCATCCGCAGGGTTAACTGATATCTAACGGTTGAGTTCTTCAAACAACCGGTGTACAAATTAACACAATTTATCACATTTATAAATTAGGTAAAATTGATTTATATTCGTTACAATTCGACATCACAACCCATAAGAGCAGCTCTTGAGATTTTAAGTTTGGATTACACCTTCATAAAAGCACAAAGAAAGCGACATTTCTTTTCTAAAACACATCGATTTCAACCGCACAAAAAACATAAAAAGCTGTACTAACCTTGGCACCAATCTGGTTCCCGCACTGGCCGACCTGGAGAGGCACAATTTCCCTCAGTTTGATTTTGATTTTGTTTTTGTTAGACTGACTGCTTCGCTGAATTGATTAACGTGTCTGTAACATAGACTGTAAATATTAGCGCGTACCAACGGCGCAACCATCTGCTTTATACTATAACTGAGTCCCGCCCTCTACCCCTCAGCTCGAACGTTGGTTGGCTCATTTCTTTACGATTGATGTACACGAACAGATTTAGACCAATGAAAACGTCCCTGTCTTCTTCACTATTGGTCCAGTGTGTCTGTCAATCACATTCGTGTCAAACGTATGACTTCCGTCTAATCTGTCGACGTTGGCCATGACATTGGCCTACGTCCCTCATGATGGCGGAAGAGAAATGCGACACCGACAACAGATTTAATTCACAGCTGCATGCAAGCGAGTTAAAAGAAAATGAAACTCATCAGCTAATCTTAATAAACTATTTTGACTGTATTTAGTTATAAAACATCGAGTCAATTTTAAATATTTAAAACAAAAATACACTGTTGGTCTACTAGATATTAAAAAATATTTAACAGCTAAAAAGAAAAGAACCATTTATTACATAAAAAATGTACATCTATAGTGAAAATATATCTTTATACCTTAAACTGTACTAATTAATTTTTCACTTTGACTTGACTGTGATAACATTTTTTGATTCATGACGATTTTATAGTTTTTATTTAGCCTACTTATAACTTGGGTTTTAATTAAGTGCTATAATATATATACAGTGTATGTACCGTATATATGTAAATCTATATATTCAAAAATAAAATTAGACACATTATTATACATTGTCTTAAACTGAGAGATCTTCACTTGCTGTTTGACTGCTTTTATTTTGAAATAAAGTAAGGACCTTCTGGTGTATCGAAGGTTAAGACCATAACTTAACCTTGTAAAAAGAAACTGATTATCATCAAGACACTAATATTGTAAGCAGAATTAATGATTTTTTGAAGAAAAAAATATGGGGTTTTGAAAACAGGACTGTGTATTTAATTTGGAGAGCAGCAAGAGACTTTAAAACTGCGTTTAATGCTTTATTGTACCGATATATAAAAAGCATGTAACAGGAGAGCAGAAATTCCCTAGTTTCTGGAGTATTCACCTTTTATTTCCTGCTAAGGCTACAACACATTGAATTACTCAGAAAATAATTGTCTGTATTAACCCCACTATTTTTGATGTCTTTCAAGAATGAGTGACAACACAAAAGAGTGATGATTAAAATATTTATTATAAAAACAGACATCACATACATAGCATGGTTTGGGTGAAAAGTTGCAAGACTCAGTCCAGACTGTTGCAGTACATTTAGGGGACAAAGAAGACGGTTTCTTTCAAATTAAGCCAGTAAACGAGGCAGACTGAGCTGTTCATCCTGGCCTTTACACAAGGTTCTGACTGAAAACACTACAGTCACATTTAATGGTGATTCCCACTTCAGAGCTGAGCTTTAGGTCACATGACAACCCCCCTTTGCCTTTTAAAAAGCAAAATACAAAGACAAGCATGCATACAGAGGAAAACATGCAGAAAAAGAGCAACTTAATTACAAGCAAACAAAATAATTCAATGCAAAAACTCCACATTCAAAAAGTAAACTTAATATTTATATACAGGTTGGCTTAAGGGTTCTTCAAGGTTTCATGGTAAAGAGATAAATACAGCAGATTTGGCAACACCCTTCACAAGTAATGACCACTACTGTAAAAGAGAAAAAAAACATGCACGCAACTTTTAACAATTCTAAACAAAACTCAGGAAATCATTTATAAGACACATCACTCAAATAGAAAAAAATGACACATCAAACAAAAACTGTTCCTGCAGCAGTAGCATCAACTTCATCTGCTTATTCTACAGACATGAGAGGTATTAACACTCAAATACTGCACTTCACATCTTACACCATGAACACAACAAAAGACATGCTGACCAAAGGGCTCTTCAGCTGGAAAATAACCATTAAATTTACCATGACTCAGCTGCATTTTTACTAGTGATGTGGATTTCCTTGTTGTTGATATGTTTGATGATGAAGAAATTAGCCGTTGAGACTGACTTGCTTTCAAAGAGTATAATTTTATTTAAGCAAGAAACAGAATCACTGGTCACGTCTGACCAGGAGGATCAAGAAGCCAATAATGATCTCTCTCGAACACACAGAGACAATTGCTTATATGCATCCAAACATCCGCTTTTCGTCATGGGTCATAAAACATCACGTTACACAACCACATGTGGCAATACTCCTATACAATACCTCAATTTAAACATTCCACCTGAGGGGACTCCTAAATCTCCTTCAGATACTATCACAAGACGCACCCATTGTAAACTTATATTATCTCTGTCCTAGTTACATCAGACACTTCATAGTCCCCCCTAGCAAGACTATAGTCTCGCAAACGAGATAAATTATACAATTATGATGTTAATTAGCCTCATACGAATCACTTCTGTTCATGCTTAACTTTAGTAATATAGTAAAATTTTATTTGTGGAGTGTGAGAGCGAAAAACCCATCAAGCAGCTATCTTTCTTTATTATCCATCAAACAATCTAGACAGGAAAACTCTCTCACGGTCCCTCTGCCCCAGGCAACCACCTATAGTACTCCAAACCAATTAAAAAGAAAAGGGTTATGAAAACTTTTTAGGATGATATATAAATGCACACATTCAAAACCTCAGAAATAAAATCTAAAAATTGTCCAAAGTCAGGCTGGTCGA